AGCTTCGTATTTCACATTTCTTCTGCTACTGAATTTGTACTCTCTTGTCTACAATGAGAACAAGAAGAATACGATGGGACCAGCCCTTGAGAGAATAGACTATCTGCTGATAATATGGCTAGTTGGTAGGTATGATTTGAGCTGGGTGACAAATACTGACGCTGACCAATAGTGATTTGTACTACTTCTCTGTAAAATCATCTTGTTATTAACTGTGTGACAGAGGTTTCATCTTTGAAGGTGTGTATTACAAGGGAAGAAGGGCATTTTGAAAAGCATAATATGTTACCACAATCTCTAGTTATCTCAGAAGGTGAGGTGTCAGAGAAGAATGTTGGAGGATCTAATAGGAGAAATGTGGATTTTATTTCAGAAGCACAGGTAGCATTTTGAGTGATGCAAGTGAGATTCAATTGTACAGTAGGAAATTAATGTAGAAACTCGTCTTAAGTTTAAGACATTTTAAAGTTCAAATGTAAGTAATAATAGTATGGGGAGAAGCTGTGTGTTCCTTTACTGATTTTATCTGGTGTTACGCTGAGGAATGAATTGAGTTCAGATGTTGCTTTAAATTTTTTCAAGAAGTTTATTATGAACGGGCAGCCTTGTTTTATATTTTGATAATTTAGTCATTGCAAGTCATGACTCCATGTTCCAATTCTATTTTCCTGTTTTACAACTTTCCATTTCTGTGTCGTTGTCACTGATTATAATAACCATACCTGAAGTGGTCCTTGTTAATTTTGCTTTATGCAGTAGAGGGAGCACAGGTATAATTTTTGTTGAGTAGATTGCTCGTGAACTTTTGTTTTCACTTGATTTTTGTTTCTTTTTGTTTTTAAATTAAAATTTGACACAGGAACAATTGAAGTTTATGCCTTAATAGGAGGTAATAAAATATTTATAATTGCCACATACATCGTTGTCTGAAATTTTAAAAAGCAGTGATATAGTTGAAAGCAGATTTTTTCTCTATGTAGTTGTGTGTGGGTTGTTTGTTTCATTGGTAATTATGATTATTTTCATTGTTAGCTGTAATAAGTGTTGAGTAATTCATGCAGATTAAAAAAAAACTGAAATCCCTCCTACATAAACACTTGTAAGTCTTATACTGGAAGCTTCGAGGACAGAGTCCAGGCATTACAGACTCCTCCTGTTTTGAGAATCTGCGTCTGATTTAGACATTCTCTTACTCCATCAAATCCAATGTAGAAAGAAGATACGTAATTAAGTGATCATGGAAATTTTAATGAAAATGTATAGAAACATTTTGGTTTCTTCATGTGATATTTTAACATGCAGGCTCCAGAAAAGATTGAAAAATTACCTGTAATTAACATCAACCACCAAAATCCAGTTGTTTTTCACATTGTTGAATCCTAAATATGTTGAACTAATTTTACGTTTAGCTTGAATGCATTTTTCCAAATAATTTATTTTAGAATTCTGTTGCAAATATTTGGTAATAACGTAGTTAGAAAATACGTGATAAACACAAGAACCAAATAACAAGAACTTATCAATATGGTTTTCTAGAGCCCTATTGGCGTACTTCTAAAAATCAGTGTCAAAATAATGGCTGCAGAATTTCTAACACAGATAGCAGCAAGTTTTGTATTCAGTGGATTACTTTACAAAAGAGTAAATAGTGCAACTTTTCTTTCCAAATTGCTAAGCCTGAATTATGAAAGCTTATTTCCCATCAAAATACAGAAAATGCAAATTCTTGTCTGTGTAGATAATGGTAACGTCGTCTTTATCTCTGACTCCATTTGCAGATTCTTTAAAAATTTCAGTGTAAGATACGTGGTGATCATATGGAGCAGTGCAAAGGTTCTGGTTTAGAAGTGTTTTCTTAATAATGAAGAAGAAACATATTTTTGGAAATCTTTCAATTAATGGTGCACAGCACATTTTCTTGTTATACCTGTCAACATAGCTGTAAATCTGATGGAAAAAATTATCATGTATAGGTATCTGATTCTTTTTTTCTTTTTTAACCATTTGCTTGATCTTGTTCATGCTGGGCTGAGGTCTTCACAGTGTTTCATTAGCAGAAACAAACATACTGCTTTTCTCCTGGGCTGCATATGGAGGCATACACCTGAAGTACTGTGAGAACATTGAATAACTGATTATTCATAAAAATCAAAGATGTCATTATATTTAATCTAACAGTCCTTTCAATGTTTATAAAAACATCAGCCTGTTCCAGACATTCAATTAGTAAAGTTCCTATCAGCCCTGTCTTTCTGTATGGCCAGATATGTATGGTTAGCAGTGCTGAAATTCAGTTTGCTGTAATGATTCCAAATGTTTGTCTGTCATTCTGACTTTTCATTTTTGCAATCTTAGGCCACAGTCTCTTTTCTCTGCTTATATTTATAACATCAGGGTAGGAAGTGCTTCTACTTACTGATCTTTTTAGTGACAGTTACTGAGCTGATTATTCTTTAAGAACAATTTTATAATACATATACACCTCCAAAAACACGTGATGTTTTTTATAGACTATATTGTGCTTTTAGAAAAAAAATGAATACATTCCTGTTAGAGAAAAAAAAAAAACAACTGTATTTTTGCTCTCTGCCTTTTCTGAAATTTGAGTCTTTGCTGTACAAGTTTTTTCTACAGTCCATTTCCTTTCATGTATTTTCTATTGTTGACTGTATTGCTTAGTTTGGAAAACAGGCTTGAAGGTTTGAACGTCTTGTTGCCTGATGAGTGAAGCATATATTCCATGCAGTGGTTTCTAGTAAATGTACTTTTAGTAAATGTGGTTCTCTGTTTCTCTTTGCTAAGACTTCATTTACAAAACTCAGTCAGAAGTGTTTTACTTGTAGTAGAGTATCTAGTGAGTACAATAGCTTGACTACTTTGCCTTTTAATTTTTTTCTTTCTTCCTTTCCACTACAGGAATGGTGTGGTCAGATGTTAAAAGACTCTGGTATGATGGTTTAGAAGACTTTTTAGAAGAGTCACGTAATCAGCTTAGTTTTGTCATGAATTCCTTGTATTTGGCAACTTTTGCTCTCAAAGTAGTTGCCCATAACAAGGTGAGCACCCATCTTCATAAAATATATGCTCCTCTGAGATAGACTGGGCAAATATAAAAGCATCTTGAAGGAGAAGTTGAAAAGGGCGTTAGAACTTGTTTAAGAACTCAGTTCTCATTTGGGTTATTTTCCCCATACATCCTTTCTGATCTGGCATTTGAGGTAGCCTGATTTCATAGGCCAGTAACCATGCAGAAGCTGTTTCTAACCAATGTGTTTAGATCGTCTAACATTTTTTGTAACAAAATTTTCTTGAGTTTTCTGTTACATATGTTCAGATGTTACAGGGCATTGGTTTTGTTGTTCTTGTGGTTTTGTTTTGTTGTTTTTTAATGTGAGGAGGAAAAGCCCCAAGGCTATAGAAGAGCCTTGTCTTTTCTGTGTGGAAAAACCATCTGGGCCTGATTGAAGATGCAAGTTTTGAATGTGATCATTTCCATTCTGTTGCATGTGTTGTTAACGGCACAGCATATGGCAAGCTGCCAGACGAATTGAATATGAATATTTTAGTAAAATCCAAGCCAGTGCAGTAGGCCATTATTTTGTATTGCAAACTGTGAGTTGACAGCTGTCTGGCAGTTAAGGAGAGCTGAACCAGTTTATTTCCCTCCCAGCCTGATGTTTGGCTTATTTACCCTGTACTTATGTTATTGATTCAGAGAATGGTAATCATTTGGAAAGGAAAGCTCTACTTCATGTAAAAAAAATGGAGAGGGAATACCATGTTAGGCTGCCTTCAGAACCATTTTGTTTGGAACTAACCCACATACAGTAGCATTTTATTTGCCAAGAGCCCTTTGCTGCTAAGTTATAATCTTTTTGGAGATGTAAGACTTCTGTCCTATGTGAGAGGCACGTGGTGACTTTTTGCCAATTTTATATCGCAAATTGTATTTTTTTATTGTTTATGAATAATTTAGCAAACCAAATAAAAATGCCTCTTTAGCATCTTAGCTCTATATTGTAGGCGCTGAAGCAGTAAGAAATAAGAGTCTCCTTAGCAGAGGGATTTATGCACATACAGTTGCAATGTATGCAAACATGTTTATCTTTCTTCTTGTGATCTTTGTGCAGTACAATATTGGGCAAGTAATTTAAATCAACTGTCTGTTTCTTTGTTCTTAAGTGTCCATTTTGAGACAGTAGGAGCTGAGTACTGAATTTGAATACTGATTGTTTCCAGCCAAGCTGAAAGTTAGGGATCTGTGGGATTAGTTGAATTGTACCAAGTGGAGACACTTCACAGGTGTTCACACCAACATTTTACTTATGACTTCCATTGTCTGTAGTCTTTTGAAAGTTAGTTACAGGAATCTCATGTCCTAGTTCTCTCTAAATCTTTCTGAAACTGATTAAGACATAAGCTAGTTAGTTTTGAAGACTTTTATATGTATATTTGTTCTATTTTTTCTATCAGGATTTCATTTTTTTAAGTGGTCCTATTTTACTAGTCAATGCCCGTGTTTTTAATAGTATACAAGTCTGTTTTTACCAACCGTGCAAAACTGAGTGAAAGAGAAAGCAGAACAGAAGATAAATACTTGCTTAGCAATAAGTGAGGAGCAGAATTAGGGATTGAATTTAAGTTGCCTGTTTTCTGTCTCTCTCTGGAATGACTTTAAGTTGCCTTTGTCAAAAAAGAAGGAGATACATGAAAGAGATGCTTCGCCCATGAATCGTGTGTCAATTTCTTGTATGCTATTATCTGTTTTAGGGGCAAAAACAGAGTGGTACGTGGGTATATTTCTGTATTTACAGTCTAAGTGACGTCAGTTTGTCCTTTTTACATCGCAGTTTCATGATTATGCTGAAAGAAAGGACTGGGATGCATTTCATCCTACACTAGTGGCAGAAGGTCTTTTTGCATTTGCTAATGTTCTGAGTTATCTGCGTCTGTTCTTCATGTACACAACCAGCTCTATTCTGGGACCACTCCAGGTAAATACCATCACGACTTAAGAAAATCAATCAAGAAAACACCTTAACTTACTGTGAAGAGTCTTACTAGAAAAAGATAAAGAAAGAAAAGTAAGAAAGGCAGAAAGTAGAAATGATATTGCATTGATGTTTTCATTGTTTTTTTAGTCTCTCATTTAAAATGCACTGGTTTAGGTGGGGAAAGGTAAGAGAACAGAAGACATGTAGTTCACTTATAATATTTATATAATGATAATTATTCTGTGTTTTTGTTCTGTTTTGTTGTTACTGTAACATTCTGGTTAAGTGTCTGAAATTTTAAAAACTGTAAGGATAAGAATATTCCTATGAAGTTTTGTGCAAATTGAAGTCCTGAGTTTTTAATGCTAAAAGGTAGAGGAATGAGATGTGTAGCACTAAAGAGTAACCAAAAGCATTTCTGTTTGTTGGTCTTCTCAGTGAAGTTGAGTAGTATTGAGCAAGTTGCTTTGGTTTAAAACAAAAAAAACAAACCAAAAACAAAGGAAAAAAAAAATCATCATGATCATCTTATAGCCAGGGAGAACAGGTTACTTCTTTCTTTCTTTGAATTTTCTTGAGCATTCCCATGCATGACAGTGACAACGTAGAAGAATATTACCTGTATGTAATACATTTAACTCGGTGACCTTGGGGGTTGAAGGGAGGCACTAACAGTTGTATATGATGGTGGAACACTAGAAAACACAGCAGTTTTACGTGCGTATTTTTTTCACTTAAAGTTGCATTTCAAAATGTTTTTGTGAATTTAATTTCCCTCTGGTTTGAGAACAGAAATGGAGGTTTGTACTGAATTTATGCCACGTGGTGGTGTTTTATTGTTGTTGATTGTTTTTGAAGCATGGACCCAGAAGCTTCATGATGATGCTCACTGTGATAATAGTCAATATGGAGTGAACTAGAGAGTCCAGTGTGACACTGTACAGAATGGAAAGTGCCTGGAGAGTAGTGGAGTGGATCTAAGCTGTTAAGTCAGCACATTTAGGATGCAGTTACCTCACTCGATTTTTTTGATTGGAAGGAGGAAGACAGCTTTCTTCAAAAAAATTCTGTGGCTGGAAATCACATCTTAGTCCAGTGATGCTTACAATATACAGCAACATTTTCTTCCCCCATTTTTTCAGTTTAGCTTCAGTGCTCGGTGCAGACTGCTTTTTTTTTTTCCCCTTTCATTTTATTTTGAAAAGCTGAAACCCTCACAGACTGAGGCACCTCTTTTTCTAAAGGCACAGCTTAATGGAGAGAAAAAAAGAAAAAGCTTTGCTTAGGTATACTTCCAACTTCTCTGGCCACAGTTCCTGGGAGATTTATAACAAATTGGATCAGACTTCTTTCTCATCCTGATATGATTTTCTGGGGGGGAGGTGGTAATGTTATTTGTTTATGGTTTTTATTTAATAAAGCTGATTGTCATCATCAATGGTCTGTTTGTGTCAGCTGAATGAATGGATGCTGGGAATAAATAAAGTAGTCATTTAGTGATTATCCTGGTGGAATTTGTCCTAATAAATTGAATGAAGGCTTATACCTCTCTCCTAATAAACAGAACTAATTTTAAGAGCTTAGAGCAATCAAGTATTATTTAGAGGGATCCTGTAATGATGAAGGCAGAATTAATATTTGAGAGAAGCATTAATTTTTTTTTAAGTTCTTGGTGCTCAACTAGAGCTACACCAAAGGTGGTTCTGGAGTAAGTAACTTTGGATCAGATAAATAGCTCTTGTATCAAGGTTTCAGGATCTAGCTGAGAAGATGCACTTGAAAGTCCAACTCATTTTAATGACTTGGAGTACTTAATCTTGATGCACAAGTAATTATTGTTTGGAATATTTTAGTTTAATAATCCCTTTGTGAAAAGAAAAAATAGTTGCTTGTTTAATTACAGTTTTTAAAATCACTGTGAATTGGGCTTTAACCAGTGTTAACCTAGTTCTTGTAATCAATTAAATAATGCTGGAAGGCACTTCTTCTTCTTGCCCTTTTATTTAGTGATGTTGCTGTTAATTATTTTTGTATTTTTTATTTTATTTATATTTCTAATGGAAATCTACTTGTACACTTAATTTTTTCAAAGTCTTGATGTTGCAGTAAGCATTAAGCTTGTTGTACAAATTGATTGAACGTTGAAGTCTCCACATTTTAAAGAGGTTCACTGTTTAATGTGCATATTTATTTATGTACTAGATCTTTCACAAGTTTTTTAATAGGAGCCTGTGTTATGAAATTTTCCAAGTAAATAAAAACAGTCAACAGTCACTTCATTCAGTGGCACACTGAAGCTTATGTTATTACTGTTGGCCAGTACAGCTTGTGCAACAGCTCTTACAGTATTCTCTGAAAGTAGGTCACAAAGTTCAAATAGTGGTAATCAAATATGGCACGGTAACCCAACAGTGTGCGCTGGGGGGGGAAAGGCAGCTACTGTGTTCTTTTGGCTACTAGAGTTATTTTTAAGCATTCGGTTACTTTACTTACTGACTCAAACCCTGTTCTAGCACAGACTTATAAGTTGGCTCTGTGTGGTGGGTTTTGTTTTTTGTTTGTTTGACTGATTGATTGATTAACAGAACATAGAATAGTTTTCCCCTAGATTAGGTTTGTTGGTCTCATTAGATTTCAAATGTTTAGTAATTCTAAATATTTTGGGTAGAACTTCATAACTGTATGAAGGAAGCAACAGTTATTTGGTTTGTGTTACTGATGCTGAACAAAAAAAGTTTTGGGTCATTTATTCATTTCGTATGTACTTGTTTTAGCTTTCATCTGCTATGTGACTTTCTTGAGTGGGACCATGAGTCATTTAAGACAGGAAATGTTACTTGATATTCTTTGTTTGTTTTAACAGGATGAATGTGATAAAATAGTGTGGTGGGGATTGATTCTTCCAGATCAAATGATGTAATTACTGCATAGCTTTGTCTAGGTGCTAATTCTCCTGAAGTCTACACCTGTGGCAGATTGCAATCAGTTTGAGAGAATCCGCTGTGCAGCTGGGATGCTCAGTGAGTCTCCTGCAGCATGAGAAGGAGCAAAAGCAAGAGCTGGCACTTAGGTTCTTCAAGTGCAAGTTTGCTGTGAAACTGGTGATACTGTCCTGGAGTATGATTCGGAAGAGATCAATTTGTATAGTATTAGGATTTACACATGATAATTTGTGGGAAGAGTAATTTAAATACTGTGAGCAGTTTCTTATGTCTGTATAAAAATATGTGTTTACAACAAAAACAAGTCAAGGTCTTCGAACTGAAAAAATTCTCATGCTATTTTTTTTTAATGTTCTATTTATACTGTTGCAAAATTCTATGTAGGATGTTTTGAAATGGAAACAACTGATTTGAATGTTGTATCTTCTACACTTCAGATTTTATGTGCTTACAGACATGCATAACATGTGTACTTAAAATCTTACATAAAGCATACCATGAATTAATTCTCTATTCCGCAGATGGTCTTAGGTATGCTGTTTTGATTTGTGGTGAATTATGATTCCAAATGTTTTGATTAGCTCAGTGTCTTCATTAAGTGTTTTCTTAGCTTTCCTATTCTAACAGTTGTGTTGAAGTGTATCTCATTTAGTGCTTCTATCTGTTGACTTTTGAGCTCTTGATTACCATTAATATTATGAATACAATGTAAAATGTATGTGATACTTAAACATAGATTTTCTTTTAACAACTAGAAACTGTCACTGAAAAATAATGCAAGGATATCTCCTAATTATGTGATCTGTTCAACTTATCCATGTTCAGTGTCTTAAGTGTCAAGTTTTTTGTTGTTACTGATTAAAGTCTGAAGGAGGATAAAAACAGTAATTACATGTTGTGCTGAAACAGACAATAAATCTATTTCACAGATTTCAATGGGACAGATGCTGCAAGATTTTGGAAAATTTCTGGGCATGTTCCTCCTCGTTTTGTTCTCGTTCACAATTGGATTGACACAACTTTATGATAAAGGATTTACTGTAAATGAAGAAGAAAGGGACTGTGCGGGTATTTTTTGTGAAAAGCAGAGCAACGACACGTTCCATTCGTGAGTTGATACCTATGAATTAGCTGAATTGTTCTGACCTTTAATTCCCAGTAATTAAACAAAACTGGGATTTTTCTTTGAACTTGGATATAGGTCACTAAGCTCATGTGAATTTTGCTTTACCTAACAAGGTTTTTCTTGTTTTTGTAGGTTCATTGGCACGTGTTTTGCTTTGTTCTGGTATATTTTCTCACTGGCACACGTAGCAATCTTTGTCACGCGCTTTAGCTACGGTGAAGAATTACAGTCTTTTGTGGGTGCTGTTATTGTTGGCACCTACAATGTGGTGGTTGTGATAGTACTAACTAAACTCCTCGTGGCGATGCTTCATAAGAGTTTTCAGCTGATAGCAGTAAGTGTTCTCTGATTTACTGTCGGTGATTGCTAGCTGGTAAAAGGTCTGGAGCACAAGTATTATGAAAGACGGTTCAGGGAACAGGGGTTCTTTAGCTGGGAGAACAGGAGGTTTGGGAAAGGCTTGCCACTTAGTGCAACAAGCTCAGATGTAGCCATGTGGGGGGTCAGTCTCTTCTGCCAAGCAGCAAGTGATAGGACAGCAGGAAATGGCCTCACATTGTTCCAGGGGATATTTAGAAAAAATCTGCTCTGTAAGGATTGTGAAGCACTGGAACAGGCTGTCCAGGAGATTGTCACCATCCCTGGAGGTATTTAAAGGATGTATGGATGTGATGCTCAGGGACATGGTTTAGTAGTAGATTTAGTAGCTCTAGGTTAATAGTTGGAATTGATCTTAGAGGTCTTTTCCAATGTCAATGATTCTGTGATTCTGTGTGTTAAAATACTGTGCAACTTAAGAAATCAATTTTTGATGTTGTCAAAAATAAAATGTTGAATTAGCGTTTTAATATTTTTGTGCTCTTCCTTACTATTTTGCTTCTGATCCCTGTTAATCTTTCTGATGCTGTAGAATCATGAAGATAAGGAATGGAAATTTGCTCGTGCCAAACTTTGGCTTAGCTATTTTGATGACAAATGCACTCTACCTCCACCTTTCAATGTGATTCCATCTCCCAAGACTATCTGTTATCTCTTCAACAGTCTCAGTAAATGGATTTGCTCTCATACATCAAGTGGCAAAGTGAAACGGCAGAACAGCCTTAAGGTAAGAAATGATGAGGAGAATTGTAGGCTCTGAAGATGGACAGATGCTACTTACTCAAATGAATCAGCAAATTGCTGTATGAAACTGCCTCTCACATGGTGAATGCTACTAATATAATGAGGAATGCTAGGATAATGTCTGTTGCATCCAAAGTGTGAAGAGTAAGTTGTAGCCGTTTATACTAAATGAAATTCTATTAACTTTCGTTTTGGGGAATTTCAACCCTTTTCTTTGTACCCCTTCTACCCCACCACCCAATTCCCCCTGCAGCACTCTAGAGATGTACTTTGATTGAAAACTTACAGAAACTACGAAGAAGTATGTGCTAGTCCCAAGAATTTTGTGAGGCCAGAGTATGCTTGCAGGAAGGTCATTTCTTTCAAACTTACTAAAGCAGTATGAAAGTAAATAACCAGATAGGAACACTGAAACATCTCATTTTGGGGAATAGAGGGTATTTTTTCTTAAGCATCTTTATTCTACCTTGTAATTTTGTGTCTTGCTGGCCAAAAAAAAAGTATTAAAATAAATTCCAAGTCTTTGTGGAATGTACTTGAAAACATTAGGGATTACGGAACTCGAAATCGCTCGTGGGACTGTTACCAATCTACTAGGTTAAAAATTGGTTGAGACAGAACAACAGGTTATTATTTAATTGAAATAATTCCAACAGCTTGCTGACATTGTACACTTTTGCACGTCAGGTTGTCTATTAGAATTTCTTCCTTATTTCATTCCTTTTTATTCTATAATTGTATACAGGTTTTTGGGCTCAACATTTACTTATGCTTAGTAAATGTGTAATTTTTTTTTTCTTAAAGGAATGGAGAAATCTGAAGCAGAAGAGAGATGAGAATTATCAAAAGGTGATGTGTTGCTTAGTTCACCGTTATTTGACATCCATGAGGCAAAAGATGCAAAGCACAGATCAGGCAACTGTGGAAAACCTAAATGAGCTGAGGCAAGACTTATCAAAATTCCGGAATGAAATGAGAGACCTACTTGGCTTTCGAACTTCAAAATATGCTATGTTTTATCCAAGGAATTAAGGTCTAACTTTTCAAATGGAAAGTTCACCTTAGTTGAAAGTGTGGACCTAATTTTATTGCCAGACTAACGGGAAAAGGAGATTGTTGCACAGCAGTGCATTTGAAAATACTTGTGTGAGCTGTAGGTAGATAAGGAAGTGAAGGAAATAAATGCAAAAATAGTTACAGTAGTTTTCTTAAGCTCTTAAACATAATGTGTATATAAAATCTGTATAT